ATCTACTTCACCCATCCATCCCATCTGTTCTTCTATCCATCCAATCCCATCCTTCAAGCTGGCTAGTTGTCTTCTGGCCATAGTCGTAACAATGTTTTTTTTTTTGTTTTTTTTTTTGTTTTTGTTTTTTAAGCATTAAAACATAACTCAATGTGGAGTAAAGTTGGATTATCCATGAATGAACAACTAAAGGAGGAAGATAAAAAAAAATCCAGCTCTTCTCTATTTTGTAGAATGCTACTGTTGGTCAATGTGGGCAATTATTAAACCCAAATAATAGTGACAGATGGTATTTAAACTCTTTGGCTCTTTGTCAACCATCTGTCCTAAGACTTTTTTTTTTTTTTTTTTTTTTTTTTTTACTGAGTTCACTTTTTCTAGGTATTTCATTGTAGAATAGAAGGCACATATCCCTTAATATCACAGAGAACTGGTCAACCTTTGCAATACAGAAGAGACTAGAAATCAAAGCTATTAAATGTGTGGTTTGCTTCTTGACCTCTCTAAAGTATCATTGCTGTGACATTGTAATAACACGCAGAACATTCCAGAAAAAAAAAAAAAAAAAAAAAAAAAAAAAAAAAAAGCCCTAATAAGTAAAACAGCAGCAAAGGTAGAAACATGGCAGAGTGGAAAAATCGAAGGTTAGAGTCAGGCAGACTGGGTTCAAATACGGTTCAGCCACTTGAGAGCTATGTGCCATGGGCATGTTCTTTATCCTCCTGGGGCAAGGCTCTAGTTTCCATCTGGAAACTGGATGACAGTCCTCAGAATGAATGTGGGTTTAATGCGATAATGCAAGGGAAGGGCCCAGCCTTGGGTCTGCCACATGACAGACCCATGCTATTCTCTTAGCTTCTTTTTTCTCCCTAGGTTATGGAGACCCTTGTATGACCTTGAAGGAAGGTTCATCATGACTTCTGGCCTTCCACTGAGAAATGTCCCCCCCCAACCCTCCCCACCCCCGTCTAGTCTTCTCATTATCCCCATTTTTAGAACTCTACACGTCTTCAGATCTTTTACCCCAGCTCTGGTTAATTAACTAGTCGGGTATGCAATGTCTCTCTTCCCCACCAGGATTTAAGTTAATCCTCTAGAGAAGGGTCTTGCATATATAGTAACCACTCAATAAATTATTTGTAGACTACATGACAAACCTGTTACAGGGTTTCCAACATGTGACATGTACCACTGATGGTATGAAATGATTTCAGGGATTGGACTTGGACTAGATTTCTTAATAATTTTAATGGTTATGCTATATATATATATATATATATATATATATATATATATATCATAACCAATATATATATATTTAGTGAATATTAGATGAATAAATAACTGGCTCATCAGATCTGTGATTTTATGTACTTTTACTTAGATGAGGCTAAATATAAAAGTAATGATTTAGGGTAAAAAATTTATGTATAGTTGTCATAAGAATATGGCAAAAACCATGAAGAGATGACAAAATTACGGAAGTCTGCTTTTGGAATCTATGGCTTATGATTTTCCAGCTGGACAATCCACGTGGGGGTCAACACTAAATCAAAAGTCAAGTCAGAACCAGGTCAAGCTGAAAGATGGACTCCAGAACACATCTGGCATAAGGAAGAAGCATGCACATTCTGGTATCTGAGTGTTATCACAGGAAATGCCAAACGTGAACTGAGCAGGAACCAGGGTCAAATCCCGCGGCTATCTGCAAGGTCACAGCCAAACGGACAGGAACTATCCAGGAGACAAGGTGTCCTCCCAGGAAGGGTGTGTGGCAGGCCCCCTTAGCTTTAAAGGCACACGGACCTGGAATCTGATATTGCTTTCCCCTAGAGGCAATTATTTCTCAGTTTACTATTTCTGTGTAAGGCTTTCTTTTGTGCACATCGGAAGGGCCAATGGATCTCTTAACCAATATCTCAATTTCCTGGCAAACTGAAGCAGGAGGTTGCAGCTATTATCAAAGGAGCCTTTCTCTGAGTTCCTCTTCCCAGGCCCAAAGTTAGGATGAGAACACAATCCTGTCATTTTGGATTGGAACATACAAGGAACTGTCCCCTATGAAAAAAATGGAATAAATAGGAAATAGGTTTTGATGAAGTAGTGCAAATAATGTTTCATAGACGTTGCAGGTTATACAGAATTCGGCAAGCTAGACTGGGAACCAGATTACCAATCTACTAGTATGCTACCAACTCACTGGGGAAATGTATTAACAATATGAAATGAAAGTTTGGGCTGCAAATTTCCATAGGGGGTGACTACCTATATTTACAAATACAGCAAATTCCTTACTAGTGAATGTTTAACACTATGTTATAGCTAAGATTTCATACTTCTTTTCACTTTTTTCAGAAGAAAATTGGTTTTGTCATCAATTATGAGTGGTGTTCAAGTCTTGTACTATTGAAAAATAACCAATCACTTTCCTGCCATAACAAAATGACTCAGTCTTTACATTTGAGGACAATTCTTGACATATAAATGCAATCCCAAAAAAACATTTCTCTAATCAATTCCCAGCTACACCAAGTTGTTCCTGGGATTAACTGGAATGACAGTCCTAACTCACACCCTGCCTTGTTGACAGAAAATTATTTCTTCTTTTGACCATAAACCTTTAACCCAATGTTTTCCACACGTGTCTGATGAAAAGAATTACACGAGGCACTTTAAAAAACAAGAATGCCTGGCCTCAGCCCAGTAAAGAATCATACTTTCAAAGGAGAATCTGAGTGGACATTTAAAGCAGGGGTGGGGAACCTCTGGCCCACGGGCCACATAAGACCCTCAAAATCATTGGGTCTGGCCCTGCCAAAGAGGCATTAGGGGTTGAGTCCACAGAGAGGAAGGGAGAGGGATAGAGAGCTAGAAATGTCGATGAGAGAGAAACATTGACCAGCTGCCTCCTGCACACCCCCTATTGGGTGTGTGCCCGCAATCAAGGTACATGCCCTTGACTGGAATCGAACCTGGGACCTTTCAGTCCGCAGACCGACGCTCTATCCACTGAGCCAAACCAGTTTCGGCAAGTTGATAATTTTATATGGCCTGTGAATGATGTTATAAATAGCCAAATGGCCTTTGGCAAAAAAAAAGGTTTTCCACCCCGGATTTAAAGAATGCCCATCCCTGGTGATCCCGTCATCCGACATGGTGGTTCTTACCATGGAGGGCGAGTGAGGATCATCTGGAGGGCTTGTAAACACACAGGCTGCTGGGCCCTCGCCCCAGAGCTTCCCATCCAATGGTTCTGGGGCGGGGCCTCAGAGTCTGTGTTTCCCACCAGGTCCGCAGTGATGCTGAGGCTGCTGGTCCAAGGACCACGCTTCCAAAACCACTTCAGACAAACCTCAGAGAGACTGCGGTTCGGTCCCAGACCACTACGATAAACCGAGTGCTGCCAGTAAAAATCTTTTCGCTGGTGGGAAGGTCTCGCCTTCAATTTGTAAACAAAAAGCAACATCTGACTTGTATGTATAACCCGTGGACACAGACAATAGGGTGGGAGAGGCCTGGGGCAGGGGGTGAGGGAGGGCTATAAGCGGTCAATGGGAGAAAAAAGGGGACATATGGGATACTTTCAACAATGAAGATGAAAAAGACAACAACATCTGTGAGCTCTATAGAAGGAGGCATGCCTGTATGCAGCCTGGCTGGCCCAACACTGCAGCTGAATTCAATATTACGCTTTATCTTTCCTCTTTGGTAGAAAAGCAACATTGAACCAGAGCTCACGGAGTTCCTTTGGAATTGAACCCCTGCTACTTTTTTTTTTTTTTTTTTTTTTAAAGCTGCTTGACTTTAGACAAATTTACCACAATACCTCACTTGTCTCTTATTGTGCAGAATCAAAAGATAACTTAATGGAAGAGGTTTAGTCCTAAACTTGGCACCCAATAGGCCTGCGTACTTTGATCTCCTGGCCATGATGCCCTCTTGTGAGCTACAGAAAAATCTGCTGAGTTCTAGAAATAGGTCTCAAAATGTATTATATGCACAAAACTTCATTTGGTTCAAACAAACAAGCAAGCAAGCAAGCAAGCAAGCAATGGGTAACCACTTCTTCTTTAAAAGCGATCATATAGCTTCATTTTGAACATTACATGTCCAATGGGCATATATAATATATACTCAGCTTCTCAACTCACCTCTTCCCATGGAAGTAAAAATAGAAAACAAGGAGAGATTAGATTGCAATTAGGCTCTCTGTTTAATTTTGACCAGGCTGAATTGAATATCTAGGTAAGAATTATTTTCCTGTCAATATCTTCATTATATTGTTTGGTTATTTCGTAGAAGCTGAAAACCAAACAAATCGCAGACTCTCAGAGTCAGAGGAGGAACCCTGAGGTCATCCCACCCACCCACTCTGTGAATCCCACTGCAAACACCTCCGAGTGGAGGTCCTGCCTCTTTAAGAGACACCTAATAAGAATGCAAAATATTTATTTCTGTAATTTTAACATCTTTGGTCCTCGTTCTGCTCACTCTCCTGCTCGAATATGCAGGATCTCTCCTCCAGATGACAGCATTTAAAGCATTCTGAAATGCCGTCGCCATCTTCCTTGCCTGTTCCTATTCAGCCTCAACATTGTATGTTTTCCTCTCACCATCAGAATTTCCACATTCTTAGCCCAGGCCCTCCTCCTGGGGACACAGTCCACCTTGAAGCTATTTCCTCACGAAAAAAAAAAAAAAAATACCATAACAGGCTTCCTGTTCATTCTGTCCCATTATCACCAACGAAAATAAAACAAACTGTAGTGTAGCGTGTTTTTTCCAAACGAGTTCTTAAGAGCTGGAAGGTACAGTCAGACCACAGAATGCCATGAGGACCAGAAGGGGGTTCAGGGGCGGCCTGGTCGTGGCAGCCTGAAGCAGGTGGATCCGGGAACTGGGACCCTATGTGACACAGAGGCTGTGCTGCCACTTCAAGGACCCAAGACCCAGCACGTTTCTTTCCGAGGAAGAGAGGGGGAAACCAAGGTATTTCTTACTTTCTGCGGAACATTTCTGCGAATATGCAGCCGACGCTCCAGAGGTCCACGGGGGTGGCGTAGCTGGACTGCAGCAGGACTTCGGGGGCCCGGTACCACAGGGTGACGACCTGCAACGGCAAACGGGCCGAGCGTTACGGAGGGAGACGGCTGTTTGCTCTGATTCCTCCTCCCGGGTGGCTTGACGCCAGGATTTGATTCCGAAAGATCAGACGGGGACAACGTGATAGAAGCCATAGGTAACGAGGACTCATCGCCAGCAAGCCAGGAAATGACATCACCACCACAACCTGGGTTCCTACCTCAGACGCTGCATGTCTTTCTAGGAGGGTACAATACGTGCATTGCAGAAAGCAAAGCCAAGACTTAAAAAAAAAAAAAAAAAAAAAAAAAAAGGCCTTCAAGCGATTACCTTTTTCTTAAGGGGCTTACAAAAACAATACATGGGGAACATGTAATGGCAATCACTGCAGCTCAGTTCCCAGGTCAGCATTACCAGGAAGTTAGAAGATGATTCCAGTGGCTGCTGGATGTGACTCTGGAGTCTAGAGAGCACCCTGGATAAGTCATAACTCTTATCATGAGACCCTGGGGAATTAAAAGAAAGCCTCCTTCAATGCTGATCTTTCCAGAAAACAAATTAAAAAAAAAAAAAGTAAGAACCTAAGAGACATGTGTAACCCAGTTGCTTAAACCATGTGCAAAAATTCATCCAGAGGAAGGGATTCCCAAATTGGAAAAACCCCACTTGATACAGAGCACTGTATAATAATAGATGAGACACAACTGTAATTATTTCTACCAGGTTGAGAGATAAAGGAAAGCTTTAAATTTATAAGAGCACATAAGGGTTCGAGGCTTCTTTTTTGGGGGGGAAGCAGACATTTTACAGATGCCTGAAACGAAGGTGTACCATTCTTTACTGTCCGATAAGAAATGTCACACACCTATCTACCACATAAACTTTCTGTATTATTCACATTCCTTTTATCCTTACTTATTGTTTTGTCTAATTGTATTTTTGTTGACGTCTATCTAAATTTCCTGATATCCTGCTTTGTGTATTTTGATGGTAAAGGACGTGGCACATTAAGATGACAGTCACAAGTCTCCACCACTGGCTGCCATCAAGTTCCTTTTCTCCTTGTATGCACACCCTGCTTTTTTCATCAGGGGATGGCGTCTGCTCCACGTTCCCCTGAATCTGAGTTAGCCTCAGGTGGTGGAAATGGCACCTGAGACTCCCAAAGCCAGGTCACAGGGGCTCCGGTGGCCTGGACCTGGCTGAATGCTTGCTCTTGAGATGCTTCCTCGGGGAACTCAGCTGTCTTGCGGTGAGAAGCCCACAAGGTGTTCCGGTCCACAGCTTCAACTGAGATCTCAACTAACAGCCATGGGATGGACCATCTTGATGTTCACGCCCACTTGATCCTCTAGAATCTAGAGTCTAGATGACTGTGTCCCCTGCCACATCACTTGGAGGAGGAGAAACTACCCAGCTGAGTCCAGTCAAGCCTACGGAATTGAGTGATAATAGAATGGCGGTTGTTTTAAGTTTTGGGGTAATAATACAGCAATAGCTAAGGAGATTCTTGACTGGCTCATTTAGCATGTTTTGCTTTGAATTCATGCAAGGAGTCAAGTTTTGTTTGAGGCTGGGACGGGGAATGTATAAAGCCCACGGAATCATTTGGTCTGGCCCTGCCAAGGCCTTAGGGGTGAGTTTATTAAATGTTTGACTAAATAGAGCAGGCTAATTTTTAAGTTGACAATTCTATATGGCCCGCAAATGATGTTATAAATAACCAAATGGCCCGTGGCAGAAAAAAAGGTTCTCCATCCAGGGTTTAAGGAATAGCTGGTTTCTATCTAAGGGAGAGATGGTGGTGATGTAATAGAAATTAAAAAAGAAAACAAACAGATCCACAATACCCAAACAATGTTACTCGGTTATCATTTGGCTCCAACATATCTTCCCAGCATCATCTCCCACAGTACGTCCATAATCCCTACAGTTGAGTCACATATGAGACCACATCACTGGCTCTCAACCTTAAATGCATATCAAAGTCACTCATGGGGCTTTTAGGAAAAAATAGGTGTCTGGGCCTTATCTCACATTCTCTTGAGTTAAGGTCTGCATGGGTGGGGACCTTGGAGTTTTTCTTTTCTTTCCTTAAAATAAAAATTCTTCAGGAAACCCAATTCTACTTAGTCCACAAAGCCCAGCTTTGATGCCATTACCTCCCTGTCACCACTGCCACCTGAAACTCATACCTTGTAACATAGTTCATAAACACTAGGGTTCATTCCAGAGGGTGTGGATCCAATTTTATCCATTGTCATGTCTACCACAATACTGTGCACATTGCAACTGGGGTTTAACAAATATAAAATTAACAACTTCAAGGCAATCATTCCTAGAAGATAACTGGGCAAAATTCAATGAAATTCCCGAAAAAGAAAGTTCTTACTACTTTTGGTGAGTAGAGTGTCCAATTCTGAGCGCTAGTTTTTAGTTATAATTAATTTCTGCTTTACTAATATTTTTAGCTGGAGGACCACTTCCTTCCCTACTTCTCCGATGCACTGTCAACAGAAATGCAGGTGCAAACTGTTCATAAAGGTCCACTTGAGTGGCTTTGAGACATACACAAACACTGTGAGGTCACACAACTTATCTTTTCACCTCAATATGAAATAAAGTCAAGCATCATATAAGATGAAAAGTTCTATCTGAATATTGCATTGTTTTAGACTATTCTAAAGAGGCTGTGATTTTTCTGATTGATTTACCTATCCCAAATCATTTCAGTGATACCAGTTACAATTCTCAAATGTTTAAACAGCTTAAAATAAGATCAATATTGATATGTCTATGAAATTCCCTTCCATCCCTTTTTATTTTTTCTTAGAGGAGGAGGGGAGAGAAACATCAGTCAGTTGTCTCTCATACATGCCCCCACTATGGATACCTGCCCACACAACCTGGGTATATGAAGTGACTGGGAATCGAATCAGCGACCCTTTGGTGCATGGGATGATGCTCCAACAACTGAGCCACATGGTGCTTCCATTCCTGTTAAAATTTAGGTACTATTCAAAATGGATTATGAATCCAATGTCTTAAAAATGTTTATTAATAATGACCATTCCATTTTATTCTGTTATCATATATTGGTTACATTAATAAATTTCCTAATATGTCCCATCCTTGCCTTCTTAGAATAAATCATTCCTAATCATGGTTTATTATCCTTTTGATAGTCTCTTGAATTCTATTTGCTACCATTTATTTAGCATATTAACATATTTTTAACTGAGACTGATCCATAGTTTTGTTTTTTTTGTGTTGAGGTTTTCGTGTTTTGATATTAGGGATATGCAAGCTTTCCATCTTTTTCTATATTCTGAAACGTTACAAACAACGTAATAATCAGTTCCTTCAAGGGATTTACTTGTAAAACCATCTGGGTCTGGATCTTTCTTAGCAGCATGTCTTTAACCATCTTGTGAATGTCTTCTTGGTAATTAGTTTCAAATTCTTTTGAGTCAATTTTACTGATGATAACAAATTTCCTTATAAAAATATTTAATTTGGATTTTAAAATGTATTGGCTTAAATTTTGTACATGGTGTTTCTTAATATCATCAGTTTTTATAGAAAAATATGATTTTTCTCTTTCTTACTGTTGTATATTTTTGTTTTTGCTTTATATCAGTCAGGTTTGTCAATTTAGCCATATAATTTATTGAAAAAACTGACATGGAGTTTTATTTCTATCTTGTTAATCTTTGAATAATATGTAACTTAAAGACCTAAAATCTTTAAATAATCTACAAATTTTTCCTAAAAAAGTAAACTAATTTGAAGAATAAATTATTTAGAAAAGTGTCTTAAAATTTCCATATGGTCATAAAATTTCCATAAAAGTAATAATTATTTATGGTTATCCTTTAATTGCTGGATTTCTAATTTTATTGCATCATGGTCAAAGAATGTAACCTTTTCAATTTCCACTTGGTAGAATTTATTATTGTTTTCTTTATAACTATCTACATATTTAGTTTTTGTTCCATAAAATATAAGGGAAACTTTCAAGTATAAAGTTCTTTATTAACAAGATCCTTATATTTTACTATATTTTATTTGTCAAACTCTAAAAGAGAGTTTGAGTTTTTGTTTTCCTTTCCCCAGAATTTCCTGGTATTTCTAAGCGTTTCTGCCTTATACATATTGGCCTATGTTTTTGGTAAATAAAATTTATGATAAGAAAAATACTATTATGATAAGAATTTAGATGATGGTAGACATAAAATATAAAATAAGTACACAAATCCTATTAAGTCAATTACAAAATATAATGAGAAAGAAACCCTATCTATAATAGTAACAAAAGTGTAAAACACTGAGGAATTAAAAAAAGTGCAATTTTTATATAAGTAAAATAACATATTATTGTTAAAGAACATAAAAAACACACACACCAAAACAAAATGGGAAGACAGTCCATAACTAAGATGGGGGAAAGCCATATTATAAAGATAATAGTCACTCATATATTAACACATAAAAAAAATGTAAGACAATCCAATGATTTTGTTTAGAAATCTGATTTAGAAAAGAAGGCACCTCTGACTGACTAATGCTTCATAGTTTGAGAAATGAGGATGAAGGGCATTTGCTCTCTGTTACCAAAATATACTCTAAGGCACCACAAATAAAATGGTGGTGCTAACAGATTAAAAAAAAGAGTAAGTTCCAGAAAGAGACTGACATGTTAGTGGGATTTAAAGTTCTTATAGGTGCTTACGGTATTTCCTCTGAGTGAGAGAGAAAATATACTCCAATAGGGGAAAGTAAGACCCCTGATCATCCATGTGGAAGAAAGTAAGTTTGATCCCTACTTTACACCATCTACAAGAATCTATGAAGAAGAAACTGGATCCAGAGCGAAAGAGCTAAGAAGCAGAGCTAGAAACATGTATTGGGAGAAAACAGCAGAGGACCTTGGGGGGTGGACGGCTATGTTAGGATGATGGGAAATCTACAAGCCTGAGGTGAAAAGACTTACGGAGCCAGCTATTTAAACGAAAAGCCTCCTCAGCA